CGTATGGGAGGACGCACTGCTCCGGATGTGGGAATGCGATTGCGATTGGGTTTTATTGTGGGTCGACGTCCCCGTCGCCGCGCCGCTCTTCGAGGCACGCCTCCCTGCAGGCGGCTTCCCAGGCGGCGCACCCCGCACTTTGGCAGCGGTGGCGGTGGATGTGGATGTGGATGGCACCTTGCCCATCGCTGCCGGCTTCTCTGGAGAAGATGTGCGGGAGGTAATGGCGCCATTGTTGAGCTTCTTGGTGGGGGAAGCTTTGGCCACCTGCTTACGCTTGTTGGGGGACTGGGAGGCACGTCCACGCCCCTGCTTGCCACTCTGTAGCTTGCCCATGAGCTGCTCGAGGACGTACTCCAGATTCTGGTACTGTGCCGGCACAGTTTGTCCTCCAGCCGAGCTGTAGAAGCGATCGTACAACGTGGGCCCATCGTTGGCATAGATGACAGCGTCCATGTCCAAGGCGGGGCGCTGCTTATCGTCCTGCTTCTGCTGCTGCTTGTCCAGGCGCGTCTCGTCGAGCACTCCCAGCTGCTTGTAGAAGACCTGCTCGCGTAGCTTGAAGAGGGAGCGCGACAGCTTCTCCCTCCGGCTAACCATGTAGCAGAGATTGCGAACTCGCTCCAGATCCTGCCGCAAGTGAACCACCAGCTTGTGGTTCTCCAAGTCCTGCTGCTCCTGCTTGCGGGCTATCATCTCCACGTCCTCGGACTTGGGCGGTATCAGCTCCCGATTGTGGCGCGACTTCCGCTTCAGCTTCCAGTAATTGTATATGGCCACAATGGCATCGTCGTCCACATCGAACAGATGACAGCTGATGTCATTGATGTTCACATGCTTGTCGAACTCCGCCTCCACCTCCTGAGAATGAAAAGCAAAGGGAATTCATGGAAACATGCGTAACAAAGCGTAACGATCGATATTCACCGATCGATCATCGATTTCACATACCTGTAGACGCTGAGCTCTTGCCTGGTTACGCTCCTCGGAGGTCATGTCGTTCTTTCGATGATTCTTACGCCTGCGTTGATCCTCTCCTGTCTTGCCGCACGCACTGCTGCCCTCGTTTGCTCCGTCGCCTGTGCCCGTGGCGTACTTGTTCGCTTTGTGCATGGAACTCGTGACCGAGGCACTGCCTCCCCCACTTGCACCGCCAGCGTTCTCCTTCTTGCCCTTGCTCATGCTGTGCTTCTGGCAATAGGAACGCAACTTGACGCCATCTTCGGCATTGCCCTCTTCGATGATGGCCCGCATCTCCAAGCCGTGCTGGAATGCGCAGGTCACATGGTAGGCTGTTTTGCAGGGCTTCACCGAGCACTGGATGCAGCTGCCCACGCGCTTGCGGCAGAGCACGCAGACCAGAGACCAACGCGATTGAGGAATGCTTGAGATTTTTGTTATGGGCTCCATGCGATCCACACATCCAATGCTGACTTCTGGTATCCACAGGGCGCAGGAGACGTGTGCCCAGTGCTTGCCCGATTTGTTGGACTTCATGGCACCAGCCTTGTTCGGACAGAGCACGCAGTCAGGCGTTATGCCCATGGAGCAGGTGCGACATAGCCATTGACCTGCAAAACAAGGGCAAACACAAATTAAATGTTGTGGACTATGCACTAAGGCCTAGGAGATGCTTCGCTGTCGCTGTCGCCGACGCTGCTCACCTGATGGGATTGCTGTAATGCCGTAACAAGCCTGATGCACACAGATATTGCAATTATCACAGAATACCATTTCGTTGGCCTCCTCGGAGTCGGGGGACCGGCAAACATCGCAGATGACGTTCTCATCGAACTCGATGCCCAAGCCTTCCTCTTGCTTAAGAATGACCTGAATCTGCTCCCAGCAACGAACCTGACGAAAATTCACCCTCAAATGAAGAACTGTTTCGAAGGGTAGGGAACACTCTGAGGGAACACTCACCTCCAGCTCCTCAATGACGCGCTCGAACTGCGTCTCGTTTATGTGGAAAGCACCGCATTGGGCACGATCGCTATTGTAGAGACGCAGCCAGGCCTCGTCAATGGGATCTATGTCGTAGGCACAGGTGTTCTCCGCCAAGGCAACGACATTCGTCAGGCAATGCAGCTCCGGCGAATAGTGCTCGTCTTTGGTAATGCGCAGATAGCGATTTTTCGGACTACAAATTAGATAGGGAGAGAGTTAGTATAACTTCCAAGGTCAATTTCAGGGTCAAATTGGGATTAGTAGGATTGGTGGGGACTGGTGGAATTGGTGGATCAAGGATCTTAGCACTCACAGCTTAAAGTCGTGGGCTGGGGACACAATTGGCTCGGGCAGAACGTAAACGCATGGCTCGGGAAGAGAGTCGGGGTTGACAGGTACTTGTACGCCCTTCTCCCACTCCTGCTTCCATTGATCCGCAACAACTAAATACTCATAGTTGGCCAATGGCTCCGAGTCTGGCAATTTCATTGCGCTAATGAGATCCTTGCTGCAAATAGGATGGGAAGAGAACGGAGCTTTTTAGAGAGATTCAAATTCAAAGCAGAACCAGAGGCAGAGGCAGAGGCAGAAGCTGATGCAGAGCCACTGCCTTTCACCTTTCACCTTTCATCTTTCGTCGACTACTTACCGGTAAAGTTCAGCTGGGGCCTCCGTTGAGCTGCGATTGTAGATGCTCGACATTTTAATGTCTGCCACGGACCGTGCCTGCCAGGAGCTGCTCGAACTCGCCCCCTGAGACTTGCTTTTACTAGACGACTTGGCCAGCTTCGTTGACTTGGATTTGGTAATGCTGCTGCTGCTGCTGGCGGCTCCAAGTAGTCCACTTCCTCCTCCACCAATATCCAGCTCCTGTTCCACCTCATTTTTGCTGTTACTCGATGGTATAACTGGAACTCGATCTCCTCCTGTTGCTGTTCCCGCTGCCGCCGCTGCTGCTGCTGCCGCTGCTGCTGCTATTGCTGCCGCTGCTGTTGTTGCCCCATTGGGCGGTCTACCTTTACGCCGTTTGGTGGGGGGCGGCTGCGGCTCAACATCCTTACGCTGTTGTTGCTGCGGCGGCGGATGATGCGACTGATGATGATGTTGATTACCGCGCTTACCTCTTTGTGACATTTTTCATTGGTGTCGAGTTGGTTTTGTGTGTTTCTGCTGTTTTGATTTACTTCTTCTCCCTCGTATCTTGTGCTTGGTAAGAGAACGGGTTCTTGCTTCAAGACCTGAGTGATTCCAATTCAAAGGAAGGATGAGAGAGAGAGAGACAGAGACAGAGAGAGAGAGAGATGGAGAGAGCGAGGGAGAGAAAGAGAGAGAGAGAGAGAGATAGATTGGAGAGTTCAATTGGAATTCGATCATTGCAAAAGCACTTCCTGCACTTACTACATGCTTAAGGCCACAGTTGGCGACACCACACCGGCTGCTGCTGTTGCTGCGCTCTCCTGGTAGTGGTGCAATAGTGGTTATTGTTGTGCCGCCCCTTGGACATGGACGCCGCTGCTGCCCCAGCCCTAATCTTCAGTAGCGACGCCACTTTGCAGTCCTGTGTGCTCAGCACTCCTCTACAGGCGAGTTATCTTATTCCCGCTCCGCTTGTCTTCTCCCGTCCCGTTCTTTTGCTTCGGTTTGTTTTGTTCGTTGTTTTGCACACACTTTGTGCGTTTCTGTGTTTGTGTTTTGCTTAATTTATTCAGATAATTGCCACGCTTATGCTGCTCGTCTGATGTTCAGAAATATAAAGACATTAAAATTTTAGGTTTTTTGCAAGTAGGCTCTGCCTATTAATAAGGATTTAACCATTTTTTGTCCATCCTTTACACCAAAAATACACAAAAAATATAGAAAAACGCTTAAGCTATCGGATATTGTTTAGCTGCTATGACACGCACTCACGCCTTCTCGCTCCCACACAGCACGCTCGTTTTAAGGGCGCGCTTACTCTGTCTATGAGTGCGAGCGGGAGGCAAGCAGGTGGCGCGCGTGTTGCATTTATCAGCTTCTACTTGGCAGCCAACCATCCTCCTCTTCCTCTCTTCTGCCTGTAAGCAATCATAGGTTTTTTTTGCACTTTTTCCCCCTTTTTATTGTCACAAAAGCATTTGTTATTGATGATGGCACACTTTAGATGGGATAGTTTGTACCACGGTTCCTGATACAATAAATTAAACACATGTATCACTACTTTTGTATTGGCCTATGTGAACTGAATTTTGTTATATATTTTTACATTTGGGTTTTTTGCCGCCGCAGACACACACGCGAGGCACTTGTTACTGTGCGAAAACAGCACAGGTTCAACCAATTTTACGTAGCATTTATTTTACACTCACGTTTCACGTTATTGCATTTGCATTTTTGGGGACAATGCAATTTTTATGATTATTTACAAGATTTTCACAGATTTGTCGCCATTATAAATTTTCGACTCCATCTTTGCGTATACACAGGGTTGCATTTGAAAACTTATCGAGTGTGGTCATACTTGGTACATTACAGTGTGCTGTTAAGCGCGAAATCTATGTAGCACAAATCGACAACAAATATATCGTGGCACCAATGTTAATAAACGGTTTCATTTATTTTTTGAGAAGCACCGAACAATTAATACAAAAGCCCAATAATTTCATGGATTTTCTGCTTATTACCACCCACCCTATCGAATGCCAATTCATGATCCCCTCTCTACGTTACACACCGTGCCATCTCCACGGGCCTTTTGCCGATAAACTGACCACGACATCTCTGTGTAGTTGCCATGTAGCAAAATTCAATTTTCGACTTTGAGAACGAACTTTTTTTATTTAATCTATTTTAAAAGTCATGCAAGTCATAGTCTTTCAAAAATTAGCCCATCTTAAAGAAGATTGATTAATTGATCGAATAAAATTAATAGTCTCCTTAAATTCGCGATTGAAAAGCTCTAAAAGTATCAGTAAACGGAAAAGCTATTGCTGTACCAATACTTAAGTTAATGAGTGTATATTATGTATATATTGCATATATGTATGCATATGCATATGTGTAAAGGGCAATAATCGCACAAATCTAGCTTTGGGACCGGAGGTAATTTAGAGGACTATTGAAGAATCAATGTCAGCGAGAAAAGTTGGCTGATAAGCAAGACAAGCAGTGGAGTGGAGATGTTTTTCTATTCAGAAAAGAAAGCATTTGTGTTTGCGCAGGCTCCGCTGTACCCGTAGTGACATTCGTATTTTTTGTTTTTGCACCATAGAACGAACGCAACGCCCTTCTTTGTATCCATTTAAAGTCTATCGAAGTGGTGCGGTTAATCGGAGCTAGCTTTTGCGACGAGGCGCAAAAGAAACACGACAAAAATGTCAACAACTCCCAATTCCAATAGTAGTAGTAGCAATAGCAACAACACCAGCGTTAACAAGCAGCCACAGCAACAACAGCATCAGCACCAGCACCAGCACCAGCTCCAGCAACAAGACACATATAGCAGCGACAGCAGCAGCATTGAAGAGAACTCTGACGAGGCCGCCGAGGAGCGGAGAAGGCGCATCTCGAAGAATCGCTCCCGGCTGCAACGCCCTCTGAATAAATCTCAACACACAATGTCCAGCGGAGGAGCCGTACCCAAGCACGATGGCAAGTCCCCAGGAGGAGCCTCAACAAGCGGCCAAGCAGCGGCGTCGGGGGGAGCTGTAGGGCGCCTGGTTGTGCCGCCAGAGCGCATTTCAATGCTAGTGGATGGAGTCCGCTTTACGGTGGAGCAATCTCTGCTCACTGCTCATCCCACCACCATGCTGGGCACCATGTTCGGTTCAGGCTTTCAGTTTGTCCACCCCAATGAGCGAGGCGAATACGACGTTGCAGACGGCATCTCGCATTTAGTGTTTCGAGCAATATTGGAGTACTACAAAAGCGGCGTGATCCGCTGTCCCCCGACTGTTTCTGTTCCCGAGCTGAAGGAAGCCTGTGATTATCTGCTGATACCCTTCGACGCCACTACCGTGCGCTGCCAGAACCTAAGTGAGTATGTTATAGGCAAAATGCTCCTCCACGGGCGAACCTCAGTTGTGGCCATCTCTGCTCTTTGCTTCATTTCTCTCTAACATGCCTTCTGTTATGTTCGACAAAAAGGAGGTCTTCTTCACGAGCTCAGCAATGAAGGAGCGCGCCAGCAGTTTGAGCTGTTTCTCGAAGATCTTATACTGCCATTGATGGTGGCCTCAGCACAGCGCGGTGATCGCGAGTGTCATGTGGTTGTGCTTCTCGAAGACGACATGGTCGACTGGGATGAGGAATTTCCACCCCAAATGGGCGAGGAGTATTGCCAAAGTATGTATCTATCAATTGGGGACTAGTCCCGAATCCAATTTTCACTTTTAACTGATATTAGAGGCTATCAATTCGTATAACTATAACACCCTATAAATCCCTACTTCAGCCGTTCACAGCACAGCCATGCATCGCTTCTTTAAGTACATCGAGAACCGGGATGTGGCCAAGCAGGTCATGAAGGATCGGGGCCTGAAGAAGATCCGGTGCGGCATAGAAGGTTATCCTACACACAAGGAGAAGATTCGGCGACGTCCAGGCGGGCGAGCCGAGGTCATTTATAGCTATGTCCAACGCCCCTTCATCCACATGTCCTGGGAGAAGGAGGAAGCTAAGAGTCGTCATGTCGATTTCCAGTGCGTCAAATCGAAATCCGTTACGAATCTCGCAGAAGCAAACGCCGATCCTCCCTTAGAATTGGATGCAAGTTCGTAAAAGTCACCGAGGAAAGCCACCGCTTCCTACAAATCCACTTCCTTTGCAGGTGGAAATCCTATTCCGCCAATTGCTGTGGTCAATCCGAACCCAAACAATGCAGAGCTTGCACCCGTGCCTGCAGTTGGTGCCGCTGCAGTGGTCGCCGTGGACGAGGCAGCCGGTGGGGTTGTGATGCTCAACGATTTGGAACAAGCAGTCGCAGCTGTTGCTGCTGGCATCGTGGATGAGAATGTGTGAGCGACCGGGCCAGACCGAAATCCGGTAACCGAAGGATAAAACACTGCCAGAAAGCAGCGACGCACAGAGACCCCTTTTTACATTTTTCATCAACACTTTTATATGCAATAAAACTAAAAAGACGAAAGCAGAAGACTCTACTTTAGGACAATTGCAGGTGCTAATCTAAATCTTCCCGTTGGTTCTCTTGCCAGTGTTTGAGTCGAGTCGCTTACGCTCCATCAAAAGCCTCACGCTCGCCCTGGGGCAGAGTGGAGGTCTCCCAGTTCAGGGATCGATCAATGGCCATTTTCCATTTTTGGTAGCGAAGATTGCGTTCAGTAGAACCTATCGTCGGCTTGACAGGTTCCCTGGGTCCTGATTTGGAAAGGGGAGCCTCCATGGAATACCGATTCTCGACAGCCTTGTACGCTGCCATTGCTGCGCCCTGAAATTTGAGTGGTTAAAGAAGCATTATCGAAAGGTGTGTTAACACTAACCAGCGCTGTTGTCTCTGCTATCTTGGCCCTAAGCACATGAATTCCGACTAAATCCGACTGCAGCTGCAGGAACAGGTTGTTAACCGTCATGCCCCCATCGACCATCAGCTTGGCCAGTGGGATCTTGCAATCCTTGTGCATAGAGTCGAGAATATCGCGGACCTGAAAGCAGACCGCCTCCAGTGTGGCGCGGACAATATGTTCACTGGTGGTCTCCTCACTCAACCCACATATGACGCCCCTGGCATCTTGATTCCAGTAAGGAGCGTACAATCCGTTAAAGGCCGGCACAAAGTAGACATCCAAAGAGTTATCCACTGTGGCAGCCATAGCCTCGATCTGCCCGGAGTTTTGAATAAGACCAATGTTGTCGCGCAGCCAATTAAAAGCAGCTCCAGCTATGGACACACTCCCTTCCAAAGCGTAGTACGGAGTGGCCTTCCGTCCCAATTGATAGCCCACTGTCGTTAGCAGTCCGTGCTGGGAGTGCACAATGGACGGTCCCGTGTTATAGAGCAGAAAGCAACCAGTGCCATACGTGGCCTTGGCCTGACCTTTAGAAAGACACTGTTGTCCGACGAGCGCTGCTTGCTGATCCCCCAAGTCCGCAGTTATACTTGTCCCCTTGAGAACGCCCTGCGCTAAGCTGCCATAAAACTCTGCGCTGGAACAAATCTCTGGCAAGATGGTCTTGGGTAGCCCAAAGAATTTCAGCAGATTGGGATCCCACTGAAGGGTTTCAATATTCATCAGCATCGTTCGCGAAGCGTTGGTCACGTCCGTCTTGTGGACACCGCCATTCTTGCCACCCGTTAGGTTATACATCAGCCAAGTGTCGATGGTTCCAAACATTGCCACTCCACTGTCCATTGCCGCCTTGACCGTCGGGACATTGTCCCGTAGCCAACGCAGCTTTACTCCCGAGAAGTACGGAGAGAGCGGCAATCCACAGAGGGGGCGCAGGTAGTTGATATTTCTGGCATTGTTGGGAATGGCCTCCAGGAGCTCCTCTACTGTACTCGTAGTGCGATTGTCCAGCCATATTATAGCGTTAGCCAAGGGTTGGCCTGTGTTCCGGTCCCAAATTACGGTAGACTCCCGCTGGTTCGTTATTCCAATCGTGATGATATCCTAAAATGTACATATACATGTATGGGCATCTTTTAAGTTTTAAAATGGTTTAATTCTATATCTAAGCAATGTCTCCCTATCGGCACAACATTGTTGAAAGGTTAAGAGGTCGCCTAACGTCGTCATTATTGTTGAATAAGAAAGCATTTATAAATTTATATGAAAATATATGTAAGTAATAATAAAACAAGAACAGCTGTTTCTCATTTTTCATGGGTGTGTACACACTGACACTTGCCCCTTTAGCCATTACCAATGGAACGGAAACGCTGCAGTAAACAACAGTAAACATTAGAGGCGATAAGAAATCTAATTGAGCGACGTAACCAGCAAAAATTCCGGACACTCTCTCCCGGTCACCGGTCTTCAATGTCAACCTTAGTCAAAATTATCCGTCAAAGTATTTCCAGCCAAAATCGACAGCAACAACTACGTAAAATGGCGAGCGGAAGGGAAAAAATTATAAACGGTCAAAGTGCGACCATTGCCGTGGGGCAGATGCGCTCCACCAACGACAAGGTCTGGAATCTAAACCAGGTGAAGGAACTGATAAAGAAAGCCAAATCTGAGAACGCACAAATGCTCTTTCTTCCCGAATGCTGCGACTTTGTGGGCGAAAGCCGCACCCAGACAATCGAGCTGGCAGAAAGGCTGGATGGGAAGCTAGTGGCAGAATACAAAGAACTGGCCAGGTGCCACCAGATATGGCTCTCCCTCGGGGGCATACACGAATTGAACGATCAGGGGAAAATCTACAATGCCCATGTTCTGGTCAGCGCGAAGGGCGAGCTGGCTGGCGTCTACCGCAAGATGCACTTGTTTGATGCCACCACAAAGGAAGTACGGCTACGCGAATCAGATACAGTGTCACCTGGGGAGCGTTTGGAAAGGCCAGTGGCAACCCCTGCCGGCCAAGTTGGTCTACAGATTTGTTACGATCTTCGTTTTGCTGAGCCGGCTGTCTTGCTAAGGAAGTTGGGAGCCCAAATTCTAACGTATCCAGCTGCCTTTACCTATGCTACAGGCAAAGCGCATTGGGAGATTCTTCTGCGTGCCAGGGCAATTGAGACGCAGTGTTTCGTGATCGCCGCAGCCCAACAAGGATGGCATAATCAGAAGCGACAAAGCTGGGGTCACAGCATGATCATCAGTCCCTGGGGAAAGGTCTTGGCCGATTGCGGCGGTGAAAAGGATTTGGATATAGGCACAGCCAAAATAGACCTTTCCACTCTTGACTCGCTTTATCAGAGCATGCCCTGCTTCGAGCATCGCCGCAATGATCTTTATAGCTTGACGGCTTACAACATTCGTAGCAGGGAACCCGACACGGATCGTGCCTTTGCGGAGCACATGGTGGACAAACGAACCATTTTCTACGAATCGGAGCACTGCTTTGCATTTACCAATCTGCGTTGCGTGGTCGAGGGTCACGTCTTGGTGTCTACCAAGCGAGTAACCCCGCGTTTGTGCGGACTCGATTGTGCCGAGATCACAGACATGTTCGCCACTGTTTGCATGGTCCAGCGGCTGCTGGAGAAGATCTATCAAACCACATCGGCCACAGTCACTGTGCAGGATGGTGCCCAAGCCGGGCAGACCGTTCCCCATGTCCACTTCCATGTCATGCCGCGTCGCAAAGGAGATTTTGGTCACAACGATCAGATCTATGTGAAGCTGGAGGATTGCACCGAAAGCAAGCCACCGCGCACACTACAAGAGAGGATTGATGAGGCTCAGGTTTACCGTACCTATCTGAGCGATAGCTAACAAGTGTTTGAATAGATATGCACTGTAATTACCTTGTCACATACTTATAAAAATATCCCAGACGGAAATAAAGACATGTTGCTCTATTGACCTTAGCTGAACCTTCAGATCTCGTCTCACCTTGATTTGTCCACCGAGAGAGGTAAGCTTCTTGGTAGCTCCTGCGATGCACTCGTTAACGGTGTTCACTATAACCATGGGATCTTGCTCACACCAGCCCTCCTTCTGGAATATAGAGGGCACCTCGATCTGATGGTAGCAGACAATGTCGTCAGTGCCAGCGCGGAATATTATGAAGCGGGCCGAGGTGGTGCCCTCATCAATGGCTCCCACAAACGGGCCTACAACAGCTGTATCACTTGGAGTTTCCATTTGAACGTTCGACTAGATGTTCAGAGTCCAGAATTCAACAATAATAATGTTTAAACGTTGCTCTTTCCAGTTTGCTTTCAACACTGAAGCTAAGAATTATTGGAATTCTCACAATATTTGTCAAGCTGATTGCGAGTGATAAGGCCGTCGAGCCCTCTCGTTTCTTATCGACAATGGTGAAACCAAAAAACTCGCTCTTCGGAGTAAATATTTATTGCGAGTAATATAAATACAGCTAGCGAAGTTATGCCGCAACAAACTCGCGAACTGTAAAATCATGATCAAAATATGACCGCAACCAATTGTTCTGGACACGTTCATAACGGTTTGAGTAGTTTCTTTTATGCTCCATGCTAGTAAAATCGATAATGGAAACAAATACCTTAAGGTTCAAAATAATTTATGTAAAATTAGTAAGACACGAGTTATACTTCCGCATAATCTACATTCATTTGAGAAATGCACTAAATTTTCCGTTCTTTTGTTATTTAACTAAATTTTTATTTTTTGTGCCATTTGGCAACACTGCCCGTTAAGTGTGACCACATCTTCATACCAAACAGCTGATTTTTAGTTGCAAGAGAAATTGGGTAAACAGGTAAACAGAACATATACGGCACAGAAGCGCAGATATTTTGAATACAAGTTTGTAAGAGCCATGCCCATTTCCGAAGTCTACAAGAAAGGTCTCAGAGACTTCTTGCTGAATGAGAAAAACACGATTGTATTGATGCAGTTGGCCAAGAGTACGACAAAAAATGTGTGTAAAATCAAAGATCCTGAGGGTAAGAAGTACTGAACTTTATTTAAAAGAGAAATATATTCAGTTGCATATTACTTACAGAAGCCTTGGACTACCTAATAGCACATGTGGAGGACATACACATTTTATTGTCCAAACGTCTCATCACGCGCGAACTTCTGTTTATGTATGTGCACAGACGCTTACCGGGAATAGCCACAAACTTCACCAAGGCGGATTTGGTATCGAAAGTGATCAAATATTGGGAGCAGCAGCAAACCGTAGAACCCATTAATACGCCCAAAAACGAAGAGGAGTATCCCATTCACACAATGGCTCGGAAATTCGGCGAATGGTTTTTTGAACGCTTTAATTCTGACTGTCTCAGCCTTGTAGATTTGTGGGACGATGCGGCCTTGCACTTAACAATTTTGGCCAGCGATGGGGTTAGTGTGCACGAGTGTGAGACGGCTCCAGAGGTACTTTCAGTACTTATAAGCACAAGAAACCAATTTGGCTTCGTCTTTAATCCAAACCTAACCCACTGTGGAATACAAGGGCGCATGGATTCCTATGGTCAGGTCTTGGTACTCTCCTGTGGCACTCTTCACACAACCGAGTCCTGTGTTGGGGTTTTTGAATGCGTCTTTGCACTGTTACGTGACCCCTATTCGGAAAACAATTGGAAGCCCAAGAGATTGAAATGTTTGCTAAAGAGTGAGGTTGAGCCCCGCATCCTCCATAGCCTGAGAGAGTGCGAAACTCTGCAGACAGCTCTGGCACTGCCAGTGCATAACGAAGAGCTGGACTAGCGGTGGACTATTATTGAGCGGTTAAATGCGAAATGAACTAACCTTTCGATAGCTCCGGTGCACGTCCACCATGGTATGGAGTTTACCATCAGTATGTATACCATATCGTTACTTACCCTTAGCTTAGAAATAAAGAATGTAATCTTGTATAAACTTACGATTTCACTTTTCGAATGGTCAGTTAAAGCCGAAGATCGAAGAAGTCTCCGTATATACTTGTGTAGTCAACCCAACTGCAATTTCAAAGAGAATGTAGGCATTAAAAGTTGTACAATTTTGCGAGTTAAGCCTAAGAGAACACTGTCAACAATATGTTAGAGTAGTCCCAGTCATAGTTTTAAGTCTTTGTTGCTATCTTCGATTAACCGAAGCTCCCTCATACCTTGCAGTGATAGTTTTGAATAAGTAAAGAATAATTCCCTTATACTGTTGTACGTTTTTACTGTACTGTTTTTTAACAACAATAATGGATAGAGTCGTCGGTGTTATTGGCCCACAAGAGAGTGGGAAAAACGCTTTATATTTAATCTAAGCCAATATAAAGTTTCTTTCTTGAAGAGTATTTTCATACACAATTTAGTCAAGTGTGTAGTCATGTGCATAGGGTGTATATAAACTAATAAAAAATTAACTTATTTGTAGTGTACGAACAAGTATGCAATTTAAGCGAAAAAATACTCAATCATTCTTTGTAATAAACAGAAGATCATACAAAAAATAAAACATGTGCTTAATTGATAAATCTTAAATGCTCTCGACTGACTATCGCCAGTATGGGACTAAAGGATATCCTCTGCAAGGTCGTATAAATAAATTATTACCAGTTGAGTCAGCCACACGGCCAAGGAGCGCTCTTCCGTTATCAGCGGCACACCACACTGAAATGGTAGTACACATTAATATGTATGTTTCTTAAGACAAGTCGACAGATCGGGAACGGTGCTTAGATTTATGTTTATATAGGTATATATATATATATTGTGTGTGGGAAATCGGTTACATGCATTTTCATACAAAGTTTTAGAATAATTATATACACGCACTACACACACGTATAACAATTTCCGGAACAATTTCTAATCGAAAGCATATTTTGTTTAATTCGTTCACCAAAACCCCATACCTTACAGCCGTACAGCTGCAGGCCAAAATCCACAGGGCATATTTACATCGTTTGTAATCGTGTAAATGTGTGGTGCGGGTGACTTCTAGGCGAACTGTTTTTTTAACCTGATAACAAATGAAAACTAGTAGCTAACGCGAGTTGGGCGTATCGGTTGTCTTACGGGCTAGGAAAAAGAATTACGTTTATTCGATGTCGCTGTTCATCTCTACATTTTCTCCTGAATAAAGGGATGCATTAGTGATTGATTGAGGGAGATCCGCTTCGCTGGATCCAGGGCAAACATGTTCTCTAGCAGATCCTTGAGCTGAGTGACCTTGCGATGCTGATCATCGGGCAGATTTTGATCAGCAATCAGTTCCTGCTGCAGGCTACGCGATGGCTTTACAACTGGCATCACAACAATCTTCTCCTGCAAATGGGAGACGTGAGTAACGTAATCCTGTGCTGTTGCAAATACGAAATTATCACAAAACTTACCCTTTCCGTGAGCTTGTCTATCTCGTGATAGAGGAAATTGCAGTTCTGATCAAAGTGCTGCTCTCTGAATTGACCCTTTCTCACAATACGATTCGGTATCTTGCCCTTCACGTCCATGAAAAACTTTAGCATCTGATTATTACTCTTTCCGCTGAACAAAATCTTTCCCGTGTATAACTCGTAGATGGTGCAACCAGCAGACCAAGTGTCAATTCCATAGTCATATGGTATTCCCAAAATGATCTCTGGCGATCGATAGAACCGCGACACCAAGTACGGAGTAATTTCATTGTCACTTATTGCCGAAGCAGACCCAAAGTCGCACAGCTTCAGTATCAAATTATTCTCGTTGACTAAAATATTATCCGGCTTGATGTCCGCATGCAGGATACCCGTCTTTTTCAGCAGCTTGAGGGCTAAAAACAGTTGCTGAGTGTAGCTGCGCACAGCTTTGATGTGCAACCCGACATTCTTGCCGTATTTCTTTAACACCTCACGCAAATTCATGGCCAGTGGCTCGAACACCATGCAGAGATGCTACACCGGGAAAAATAAAAAAATATTTTTATAAAAGAAAAATCAACGACCTTTGAATAATATCCAACAAGTCTGTGTATATGTATATTACCTGTTTGTGGAAGAAATGGCGATTCAAGCGCAGGCAGTGGAAACGATCTTCGGGATCAGCGTCGTTTAGTTTCTTAAGGATTTCAAGCTCTCGCAGCCCGGTTTTGTGCCTGTTCAAAGGAAATAACATTTGAAAATTCAACAGGCTTAAAAAGGGCAACATATAAACTAATATTATGCTTACATTATTTCGTTGTTGCGAATGATCTTGATTGCCACATTGGCCTGTCCCCGAGCCTGATCACGGCCACGCACCACATTACTGAACACACCTTGACCCGTATAGCCACTGACCAAGTAGCGATTGTCTAGAACCTCACCAATGCGCACACGATAATATCCCTCCGCGTCATCCCAGTTGTCAGTAAGGGCAGGATTCTCATGCTGATGCTTGTTGTGAATAATTGTACTGGGCGACTAGGAGATGGAACAGAGGATTAGTTGAAGCAATGGGAGAATTGGGGACAGAAATTTACAAGCCTGTGACTCACATCGAAATTGGAATCAACATCCTGATCAGCAAACATGTCCCACTCATTGCGTTTCTCTTTTCCTGAACTATTCTTTTGGCTGTTGGAATTGTCCAACTGCTGCTGCTCCTTGGGGTGATCCAAGTCATTGAGCGTGGGTGTGGGAGTTCTTGGTTGGCGATCCCGTTGCGACGAGCCCGCTGAAGTGCTACGAGACTCATAGGAGTTAGAATTTTGAGGCGTGGGCGATTCCTGCCCTGTTCCTAGTTTCTATTGCAAAGATTCAGCTTAAGCATACACTATTTACCAAGGACTAAGAGGACGACTAACCTTGAGAAGCTCTTCGCGCTTCTTCCGACGCTGCTCAATGATACGTTCCTCATCATCGTCATCCTCGTTGATGTCAATGTCCAGATTAACCTCATCGTCACTGCTCTCCTTGTCGTGAATCTTCTGGCCTTCGCTCAGTGAGCCTTTGTAACGATCTCGGTCGTTGTCCGCGCCGCCCCGTGCTCCACCACGATTATTACCACCAAAGCCACCGCGATCCCGATCTTGGAAGCGCTCACGTTCACGGCGCCTGTCCGACTCAAACTTACTGCGACTGTGAGACCGCTGGCGATTGAAGCGACTGTCTCTCTCCCGTGGACGACCAGCACGTTGTTCGGCTGTGGCTTGTGGCCTGTCTGTGCCAGATCCTGGTCCACGGCGCTCCCGATCCCGGCTATGCTCATGCCTTTCTCGCTGTTTATCGCGATTGATCTCCTGGCGTAAGTCTTCCATGTTACGATTGTTCTGCTGATGATTCCGTCGTTGGGAGCTTTGACTGCGGGGCCGAATTTGTTCCTCCATACGCCGGCGAGGGGGAGTGCGGCTACGCGCCTGATCCCGGTCTCTAGAGCGTCGCTCACGCCTTCCAAGAACCGTATCGCCGCGTACTCGACTTCTAGGCGCTGCTGGGGATGCTGGTGCTTGTCGTCTTCGCTTCTCTGGCGTAGGCGAGGGCGTGCGCTGGCCTCCGCTAGAATCATCCAATAATATAACATCGGATTCATTTGAGTTATGGATGCTAGACTGTTTATTATTAACATTTTTACTAGTTGCAGTAGCCTGCGGTTGGAATAAGGGCTGCGATTGGCCCTTGCTGGCTATTTGCTTGGACTGCACCGATTGTGCTCGTGAGTTGGGTTCACTTCTTTCATCAGCGTCCGGGTCCGACATGTACGCGCCCAGGCGAGCCTGTAGCAATGCCTTCTGCTTCATCAGGTCCTCTAAATTCAACTCATCTTCGATCATGGCAGCAATAATCGGACTAGCAACATCCATGGGGCTGAAATGTGCAAATACATATGTGCATACATATATCAGAATTGTAGCAAGAACTAAACGAATAAAAGGCCCTCATGAGGAATTTGGTTGTGATAATGCATTTAGAAATCCAGATGCATATACTTACACATCACTCTCGCTGCTCGAACTGGCCACCTCCAAAACTGGGAGAACCTTGTTCTGTATGGTCTTTGTAATTTCCTCCACGAGACTACACGGGTCTGTTTGCAATTTCGAGCTAGAGATGCACAATTCGGCGCCATTGCGGCTTGCCTTCTGCATGATTTCAGAAAACTTCTCGCTAAGTCCATAGCTTTTCTGTTGTTTGGCGCTTGGATGTTCTGTACCGTCGGAGTCATGGGAAGACTCGCTATGGTGGTGGTGACGCTTCTTTGACTTTTTGTGCCTTTTGTGGACATGTTTCTCTTTGTCACTCTTGCTGGATGTGGACTTTTTGTGTTTCTTATGTTTCTTTTGCTTCTTGAGCTTGGCTCGATGCTCCTCTCCACTATTGTAATGGGAACACAAGAAATTAATATACACACACGGACATAACCAAAAACAAAAAAAAAAAAAATGTGCATGGCATAATTTATACTTTTCACTTACCTCTTTTCGTCACTCATTTTGTTTTATCACAAACACTTAAAGTTCAAACAGTATGACTTAAATCTGATTATATTTGGTTAAGTTAGCTTTTCCTACACATATACATATGAACATATGAACAGTGTGGCCGCGGATCCATCGATAAAATATACTGTCCGACGCTCAGAAATATACCAAAATATACCGTCTCATTTGAAAAATATACCGTAAATATACTGACGAGCTCAGTTCTATTATACATATTCCTCGTTTTTGATATTCCGTCGAACATTACAAGCTATATAGAACATTAAGCCGTGCCCACCAAATTTTAGCCCATTGATGAATCAATTTTCTACTTGATTGGTTAGTTTTTAGTCCTTGCTTTTATTGTATTTTGACTAAAACAAGGTT